ATGTAGGCAGGCAACAATATGGCCCCTGCCTTTTTTTTTTTTTTTTTTTTTTTTTTTGCTATTCAATGTCTCTGAGTATGTCTTCCTCAAGATTTTTGCAACTCAAAAAATCTGAAACAGTTGTCTGTATTTGAAATAATAATATTGTTCACTCACTTAACCTCCCGATCAAAGATTTTATTTAACACCACGTTCAACTCCCATGAGTGCTTTCAGTACTTTGATTTTTAATTGTTATTGATATTTATCAAATATTCACTTGATTAAAGTGTTGTTAGTTGCTAATTTTAGAGTGTTCAGTTTATTTTTGTAAGAATATATATTTGTCGTTGGTAGTTGTCAGCTTAACAAATCATACTAATATCATGATTTTAATACAAATACAGGATGTTAGCTTATCAAAGCGTACTAGAATCATGATTTTACTACAAATTCATAATGTAAGCTTAACATATCATACTAGGATCATGATTTTAATAGGAGTTGTTAGCTACAAAAGATCATACCAGGGCCATGATTTTCTTGCACGTTGTTTAGTTTAACAAATCATGCAAGAATCATGATTCATTAGCTCATTTGCATGTGACATTTTCCTAAACCGAAATCATATCAAAATTATGATTTACACAAGAGTCATTAGTATGGATCGATAGGCTGAGTTTCTGTTTGGGTAAGTAGAATTTGCCCTATGCTGCCTTCATTTCCTGTTATTCTCTTTGCAAGGGATCAATGCTTAGTAAACTTATTTCAAACCAACCAATTTGGCTACCAAACAGTACCAGCAGCGATTAAAATTACCGCCAGCGAAGCTTCAGACTAATAACCAATGTGAGAAATTTTCGTAACTATTATCTCTTTAAAACTTACTGAATTGTGGTGTATAATACATTTAATGTTCACTCATAGAAATATGTGCTTACCTTTCCCAGCCAGCACTTTATATCGCGGTACAAGTTTTTTTCTAAATAATACATGTATTTTAATAAGAAAATAACTTTTCTTCTTTTATGAGATTTAAGCAAGAATAAAATAGAAGGGAATTGGCATTGAATTGTAATTTGATATACATTGTACTTCCTAAAGTGCGCGAAAAATGCGTGATTGCTGGGAAACGGTATGTGCCTGATTTTGCGTTAGAATTAGGAAACGGTATATGCATGCTTTAAAATGCTCAAACAAATTTCAGTATTTAATTCCTAAGACTTGAAATTATTTTATTTTCTATTTGGCATTTTTTTTTCAAAAAAGGATTATTAGTGCACAAAAATACTTTAGAGAGAGTTATTTCACACCTCTCGATACAATTACCGTGAAAAATGTTAAAATTTGTAAATGCAGTGAAAAAAAAAATGAACATAGAGCGAAAAATATTGATTTACTTGGTGTGTCATTTCAAAGTTTTTCGTGCAGTAACTGGAAGAATGATTGATGTATATTAAAATGTTTCTTCCGATTATTATCTACGGTAATCAAATAGGGTGCCGTGAAAATGTGTCCAAAAATATGAAGATTTCTCTAAGGAATAGCTAAGCAATGAACTTCTCTTGCATGCAACTGAAATAAAAAGAAAAAGACATCAAGAATAAAAAAGAAAGTATCAAATGAATATGATACTAAACATGAAGAAAACAAACAAAAAGAGACGGTTGTGACATACAATAATGAATCACCCTAAGGTTATGAATCTACTTATGTAATAGTAATATGAATCAGGGTCTGATAATTTCTATCTCTACAGCAGGTACCGGCGTAAAAAATCAAATTACCCATAACAGGGACTAATGGTACATGTATATATGAAACTCTACCTGTAAGAGGTAAAATTCAGAAAGAGAAGCTAATTACCTCAATTAGGTACTTCTAAAAGGTACGGAATTGCACTTCAACTATCCTAATCAAGTGTCAGTGGCCCTTTTCACAAAATTAAAGATCTTTAGACTAAGACAAAAAAGAATCCTATACTCTAGCAATATTATGTTACAAAAGTCGTCTTACGTTTCTATTTCGTAAGATTAGAAGTGCAAATAGTATTTAAGAAAAAAATGAATATCTCTATCGAACAAAAATTAAAGAGGTGTCAAACTTTTTATCTAAGTCGTACGATCTTTTCTGATCATAAAACATCCCAGACACCTGATTTAAACGAACCGACCTGTAACAGGTATCAGATATTTATGCAAATTCTAGTACTTTAACCCTTCTAACTCATACAAACGTCTGATTAGAACATTCTGACCTGTAACAGGTACCAGATTTTAGCTCACCTACCTGTAACAGGTACCAGATATTTACACAATAAAATTCTAGTGCTTTAACCCTCCTACCTCTTACAGATGCCTGATTATTACATACCGACCTGTAACAAGTACCAGATTTTAGCTCACCGACCTGTAACAGGTACTAGATATTTGCACGATATAAAATTCTAGTGCTTTAACCATCCTACCTTTTACAGATGTCTGATTATAACATACCGACTTGAAACAGGTACCAAATATTAGCTGAAAGAGGTACCAGATATTTACACAATAAAATTCTAGTACTTTCAACCTCCTACTTTTTACAGATGTCTGATTATAACATACCGACATGTAACAGGTACTAGATTTTAGCTCATCGACCTGTAACAGGTACAAGATAGTCATGCCATCAAATTGTAGTACTTTAACCCTTGTTACTTGTACAGATGTCTGATTATAATATACTGACCTGTAACAGGTATCAGATATTAGATCACCAACCTGTAACATATATTAGATATTTATGCAATACAATTCTTGTAATTTCACACTCCTACCTCTAACAGATGTCTGATTTTAACATACCGACTTGAAACGGGTACCATATATTAGCTTACCGACCTGTTACAGGTACCAGATAATTAAACAATAAAATTCTAGTACTTTAACCCTCCTACGTCTTACAGAGATCTGATTATATCATACTGACCTGTAACAGGTACCAGATATTTACACAATAAAATTCTAGTGCTATAACCCTCCTACCTCTTACAGATGTCTGATCATAACATACCGACCTGAAACAGGTACCAGCTATTAGCTCACCGACCTGTAACAGGTACAAGATACTTACACAATAAAATTCTAGTACTCTCTTGCCTCTTACAGATGTCTGATTATAACATACCGACCTATTACAGGTACCAGATATGTGGTTTAAAAAAAATCCGAAATCCACTTCATTCAAATACAACATTTATATCCTTGATTCTTTAAAAAAACATTCACATGTCATCTATCAAAACTCTCGATATTTGATTTCCTGTTTAACCAGTTGAAAAAAGGACAATCCCTCGATTGTCAACCTCAATTGAACAAAAACATGGGTAGCCTATACTCAAGTTATTAAATAGGTTGAAAAAAAACTATCAATATGAAATTACATGCATTCTTCAGCATTTTTCTCTAAAGAAAGAAAAATTTTAGATTCCAAAAAAAATATGGAGTGAAAATTGGGGGAAAAAATACTTAATACAAAAGAGAAACGTGTAATTTCACTTATATTAGAATTGAGTATGTATGAACTACATGTATAAAGATAACGTAAAATATACCAAATTGAATCTGATATCCAAGATAGTTGAGTTGTGTTGATTTACTAATACAATAGGAAAGGCTTTAATTAACGTCAGTTAACTATTTGATGTAACAGTAACTTCAATAAATAATATTATTTCTTTGATAGAATTTTTTTATAACTACAAATTCACTTTTATGAAAAGGAAGTTTCAGACGTAAGAAGATATGACACTTTTTCAAATTGCCAGAATTAATGATACAACCAATGTATAAACCATAACATTTTTTTAACTTGAAAAATATTAAGGATATTAATTTGATTGACCAGATACGAGTAAATAAACTGAATCTCCGTTGTAGAATTCATCAGCGAACATTGATCCCTGTCAGCGTACAAATCTAATCTGTTAGTTACATCTATATAGGATGTTGGAAACAAAAAGATTAAAGTATATGTACATTAATATATTCCTCAAAAATTGCTTTGATCGTCACGGTAGCTCCGTTGGTAAAGTGCATGTTCTGTAATCGGAATCATGGCCGCCATTGACCGAGGTCGATAAAGAATGTAACAAATGCTCCGTTGCCAAATTTTCATCAGCACTTTAAAGTGAATTTTGCAGGTCTTTTGATGAGACTCTGAAAATCAAAGTCCTGTGTCACAAAAGGCTATGGCACGATAAAGACCCCCTTTCTCAATGGTCCTAAGTGTCGAGTAAATGTTCACATTTGACACCTGTCACTGGTAGATGGTGACATCTCAATGTGAATGAAAACAACATGCATTTAATCAATCAATTAAAAAAACTCCTTCAAACTGTGTTAGAAAATTGATATCCCATGGATTACGATCTAGTTTTCGCCGTTCTATTTTTGTCTGAAATGCTTTATTGTCGAACCCTCTGTGGTGAGTCAAAGATGGTCAGTACTCTACATATATCTATCTTTTGTGTGCATCAAACTGTTGATCTTGCTATGAATTTATAAATTAATTGAAATTCTTTATGAATGGGATTCCGTCTTTGCCCTAAATAAGGTTGAAGAATCTTTTTGCCATGTTTTTTTTTATCACAAAATGAACAAAGGTTATTTCACACTGATCAGGTTATTTACAAATCAATATTTGGGGTGGGGGGAAGTCATAAGATATTAGATGAACTACATGTAGATGTAAAAAGAATGTGATAAAAGATTTCATTTTTCCATATCTATCATTATATATTATTCATAATCATTATATTCATCGGTCGCATTTTAGGACTAAGTGAGACAGCATTCAATTGTTTTAGTCATAATCGTAAGCTAAAATCAATTTTCAAGGTCCATTGCTATTCTAAAATTGAACACGATAAATAAATACTATTAAATAGAAAATTTGCATTGCAGACATTGTCTTTCCTGGGAGTAATATCTACCATAATATTTTCATACTTCAAGAATTGGCACTTTAATATTTATAATGAGAAAATATGTCACATATGTTGTGATCTTAAGTATGGCATTTATTTTAAGTCTTTCTGGGCAAGATACAGAAAAGAAAATCCACTACGGTAAGAGAATATTGGATGCATTAATTGACATCGTTCAGGGAGTCAGTTTTATAGAGTGTACAGAAGAATGTATAAGTAGAAGAAGATGTTTGTCTGTGAATTACTGGAGAAGTATACTGTTATGTGAGATGAACAGTGTGGACACATCCGATTCGTCACATGTACTCTCAGATGAACCCAGAACAGTGTTTGCTGACATCTCATTATTGGAACAGGTAAAAAAAAACACGTAATTTTACTTTAAAACCGTCATGATTGAACTGCAATTACAGCTGAAGAATCTCTAAATTAAGAAGATGACTGGATCTTGTTACATTTCTTAATGTTAATAACTGTCGTTCTCATTGGGTATTTTTTTCCTCAGTACATGTATAAGAATATGTACTGTTAATAACTTTTTATTCTTGAGAACTGTATTTTTGCGTAATTACGCTAGACAATAACCTCGCGAAAATTTCACTTTGGTGTATATAAGTATTCCATTCGGTTATACAGAGGAATAACATTAATTCGTAAAATGTAGTTGGTGAAAATTCAATCACTATCTCGTGAAGATAAGGTGTTGAGAAATATAAGCTGATCTACAGTATGGTACATGTATGTACACTTTTAACAAAAACATCCTTCTTGAAGAGCTTTGTTCCTCAGTTTTGAGGAGATTTTTGTCTTACCCTTAATTTTTAAAAAAAATCTAATTAATGTTTCAATTTTCGATATGAATTTGGATTCTATAATGCTAATTAAATTATATTCAACTTAAATCCTCTGATTGAATTTCCCTACCGAAAACATTCAATGATGAACTATATCTAAGTGGTGGAAGGTATTTAAGAAGAAAAAGATCCATTATTTCTCTTTCTGAAGTATTCAGTATTGTTGAGTTTGGATTATTATTTTTTTTTTTTTTTGCATGCAATCTGCACACAGATGAATTTTATAAAGTTAAATGTTCAATGTTGGTCCTAAAATATATTTTAAATTTACTGTACATGCTGTCATAAATTTCATTTTCATCTTTATCATATACATCATACGTATCGTGAAGGTCGTCGGAAAAAATTGCCTTTATCAAGCTTAAGATTAACACTATTTTAGTAAAGTGTCTTAACATTTTACTCCATTTTCTGAATATGTAAAATTATTTTTACCAATTTTAGATTCAGAAAAAAATGTCATTACTTCAAATGTTTTGATAGCTTATTAAATTTTAAATCCCAAAAAGGTCAAATAAATGACTATATAAAGTAACTTAAAGCTATTTTTGTTGTCACAAATTTGAATGTGACTATTCAAGATGGAAAAAAAAGATTGTTTTTTCTAATTATTTATTTGGAAAAAAATAAAATAAAAGGAAAATGTTGAAAAATTATTTATGTGCTGGACGTAATTACAGTGCAGAAAGGTCAAATTAATTGCTCCGTAGCGCTTAAAGAAGCACACTGGTCCCCATCTTTTTTTTTTAATTCAGCTACGTACGTTGCTCCTAAAAATATACTTGACAAAAAATTCTCAATTCATGTACCTTTGATGGTCGTTGCCAACCGCCTTAAAATGATAATTGATTATTACGCGGTTTTTAATTTGGTGTGCTTATTACCCTATAATAAATTTCTTTAGAAGGAAACCATAAAAAGGAATGAGTTCCAAAAATAAAAAAAATATATATATTTTTAGCATATCAATTTTTATCATTGTAAAAATGTATGCTATTTTCATACCCATTATTGTTAATTTCTTGTCACATTTTATGTGTATAAGTTACATTCATCTTATACCCGTAACTGCTCAGAGTCTGAATATTTCAATACTTATGTCATTATATAATTCCTAAAACTTTGACAATTAATGATGTTAACCTTTTGAAAACAAAGCTTACACTTCTTTGTTCTCACTTTGATTTTTCAATGCAGAGTTAGGAAATTTATATATCCTGATTTTAAGTGCACAAAGTGTTATATCGTGCACAATCCTCAGTAGATATGACAATGGTTCGAAATATCAATAATGTAAAATTACGAACTCCACTATGTTTTAAAATTATTTTTTTCACTTAAAAAAGTCATGATTTGAGATAATTGACATTTAAGCTGAATTCGTAAAAATGCAAAGTCAACCATATTTTTCGTTCAACGATGGTTTCCCTACAACCACTATATAAGTAGCAGATCTCATAACACTTAAACCTGTTTCGCTATGGAGGTCAGAGGAGTGTAGACGTGCATCATACACTGCCCTGACACTCTGACGCGATAAAATTATCGAATTTTACGCATTTTTTTCCAAAGCAGAAAAGTAGTATCATGAACAATACAAGTCAATACATAATTTACAAACAGAAAATGCACATAAAACAAAAGAATAAATGCAAATATCTAAGACCACAAAAGGAAATTAAAGGGTTTATATACTCGTCTGAGGTGCCTTTTTAGGAGAAATGTTCAGGTTTAATGTACATGTATGAGTTATTAGTATACCATTTATACTATACTGATTTCTCACTATATAAAAGTAAATCGATATATTTTGCTGTTCCTATTCGGAACACTTAGCATTTTCTTTCAACTTACGACAAACTCAGAAAGGCTCTGAATAAACTCATGAACATTCATTAATGAATCAAAATGTATCGCGAGTCAACTGGTCCCATATCAATATAAACGAACCAGTTTACTGGTAGCAAACGACAACAGAAATCGCGAGCTAGAGATTTGCGTTATGTTACTTTCGATTTTACTAGGTAAAAACTCGGACAATGAATTGATTTATTGATAAAATGGAATTCTAATCATGTCTGTATTCTGTTTTGTTGTTATTTCTTATTTATTTCTGTTGGATTTAAACATTGTTACAAAATACAGTATTGAATATAAATACTGTCAAATGTCAAATGTCTCGTTTGTATCGGTATAATAAAACAGTTAAAGCATATCATTGAGGGAGTCAGCAAGACTCCAGTTCCCCTCGAGCAAACCTATTTCCCTCAGCGCAAGCGCTTTTGGGAAATAGTTAATCTTGGGGAACTGGAATCTTGCCGACTCCCTCAATGATATGCTTTAATATTATACTGTAACATCTCCGCTAATCATGAAAAAAAAAACTTGAGCAGTACCAACATGTATTAGAAATCATATCTTACGTAATTTACATTCATAAATTTCTGAAATGAAAAAAAAAAATAATGGTAATCCGAAACAATTGTTATATTGATTATTAAAGCCATATTGAATTATGCAAAATTGAAATATGTGTTCATTTTAATGTTCCCGTAAACGAAGTTTCGGGGGTATATAGTTTTTTGTTGTGTCCGTCCGTCTGTCTGTCGGGCTGTCTCTTTGTCCGCAAAAACTCTAACATTACCCATAACTTTTGATTTAGTGGAGCTATGATTTTCATATTTCACATATGTATTCCTTTTGACAATACTGTTCTTTGGTTATCACTATATTTGACCTTGGAGTTTGACCCACTTTTACATGTACACAAAAATTGCAAGCTTTTACTTTGGCCATATCTTTTTAAAAGTAGACATCAGGACTTTTATACTTCATATATGTACGAGGGTTATCTGCAATGTTCGTGGACAACATTGATAATTTGTAACAAACATTGATAAAATATATGAAGCAATTATTTTCATTAAATCAATGTTTCATTTTATACATATATATATATACATTTTTAAACAAAAACAAAGCAAAAATACATGTAGTTATATTTTTATCAAATACAAAAAAGACACATTCATTCCCGGAGCACTAAAACGAAAATCCTTAACGTTACCCGACGTCAAAAGCTTTATGATACCTCAACACAGTCACCCTGTAACTCAAATCATGTAAATCATCTAACCTTTGTCCGCGAATCAAAGACTTATTTACTGAAATACGGCAAAGTCACGTTACGAAATTCATTTTTACAGCACCGCAATCTCGGAATGATGGCCGTCCTTCACGCATGTTATCCTGTAAACTGTTACTACCGTCCAAAAATCTTATTTTCCACTTAAATATTACAGAACAGCTTCATTTACTATATTTTCCAGACTGTATGGGTTTCCGTGTGCGTTTTTCCAATGTCTATGCAGATTTTTATCACAGCTCTCTGCTCCACCTTTTTCGAGTACGTTCTTTTTTCGAACAATCCCGATCCTGTCCCAATGTATTCTAACCTCGATTTCTCAACCATTTCTAAACGCTGAACGTTCAGATTTTGCAGATTTGAGGTTTTAACTTTTGTCAACCTCATATACTGCAAAAGCAATCAAAATTTCCGCGGAATTTTACGAAAGAAAAAAAATTTATAAATTGATGAATAACTTTTAATAAAATCTTTGCGGTGCTCCGTGTTACAATCCCAAGTCTAAAAATGAAGCCATAATTTTAATTATATACTTAAAATTTAATATAATTTTACGGACAACTCTCGTATTCTTTGTGGAAAGATCTTTCATGGGATACAAACAATTTGACCTTGACCTTTGAGATTTCAGCACATATGATTTTTTTAACCTTTTACATAACATTTGAACAGTATGGGCTAGCGCTTTCATACTTCAAATATGTAATTTTTTGTGAAAAAATCCTTCATTTGCTACCAAGAACTTTGACCCTTTGACCTTGAACTTTGGAGATTTCAGTACATATGAAAAGAACTTTTGAACAATAGGTGCTAGTGCTATCATACTTCATATATGTTGTCCTTGTGCCAAGAACTTTGAATTTGGACCTTGACCTTGGAGTTTGACCTAATTTTTAAAAAGCAAACCTTGACCATAAACTTTGAAGGGTTAGGGCTAGTGTTTTCATACTTTACATATTTAATCCTTGTGACGAGATCATTTATTTGATTAAAGAACTCTGACCCTTGACCTTGGGGTTTGATCTATTCTCTAAAATTATTAACGCTTAATCGTAACTTTTAAACGGTAAGGGCTAGGGATTCTATGCTTCACATATGTATTCTTTGTGGCAATATCTTTAATTGGATATAATTACTATGACCTTTTGGCCTTGACCTTAAGAATTTCCGTACTATGGAAAAAAAATTAACCTTGGCCTTCTTTCATATTTCATAATTGCATTTCCAGTGAAAATACTCTACTTTGGGTACCATTATATTAAATTTGAATTATAAGAAAAGTTTAATCTTTGCTATGTTGCCATACATCAGTGTTTCACAAACACATCTTGTTTCTTTTTATTTTTAAGATTTGTCCATACTTTTGTAGCACTTCGTTGGAGGTTGCAAAAATCACAACTGTGCAATCAATATGAAGTGTGTACCTGGTCCTTTTGGTGCACACAGGTGTGAAATTGCAGGTAATTAATTACAAGGTGATACTTCTCCAAGGCACCTGATTCTGCCTCTGGGATTTTTTTAGTGTCCTTGTTTTCTCTCTACCCGATTTTACATGTTTAAATGAACTTTGAGCTTGAATACTGTTGAAAACCGTTTTTAATTTCATTTCACATGAGTATTTTAAAATGTTTGGCAACGACGAATAAAAAAAAGAACTTTAAAATTTTAGTGATTTTTTTAAAGGAATAGGTAAACGTTTGAAAAATATCACTTCGTGGAAATGTTCACTTTACAGAAATGAAAGTGACTTTATGTATATATTCATTGGCGTTATATATGTAAGACTCCAAACTGCGATGGTCTCGCCGTAGTCTAATAGAGTGCGCTAAATTCCGATTGCTTTTCGGGGAAACTAATATCTGATGGTCAGGCTAAAGTCTGACGGTTCGTTTGAAATGCAATGCACAAAAATGTGTTAAAAGGTCTTGATATGCTTAGGTCCGGATAGAACAATCAACGTTGATGACGTCACAATTATCCAAATTTAATCCTTGACGCTATCGTTTGGCACTTAAAAGTTCTCATTTTGATTTTGTCCTCGCATTCAGTTTTACATTTTTTGCTAATTGCTTATATCGTACTGAGGTATATGTACATGCATTATGAGTAGTCCTCGACAGGTAAGAGTTAATCATTGAACACTGTTGGAATGCTATTTAAGCAAAGAATCATTACTGTTTGAAAGATACATGTATAGTCATTTAACCCGCTTCAGACAAATTTGTCGATTACTGATTGGATAAAAGCTAATCACATGACGCCCTGAAATTTTCCGTATTACGTCTCCGTCGAGAGGTAATATGAAAATCGGGCACGCGATTCCGTTCGAAGGGTTGTTATTAGTCCCCTACTGGTGAAACCGGGGGGGGGGACTATAGGTTTCCTCTGCGTCCGTCCGTCCGTCTGTCTGTCTGTCTGTCTGTCTAGCTGTCCGTCTGTCTGTCCCCGTCAGTCTGTCCCACTTGGTTTTCCGCACTTTTTTTCTAAACGCTTGCAGATATTGAGCTGAATTTTAATATGTGAGTGTATTTTCATGAGTTACAGATCAAGTTTGAATTTCGCTTCGCCTCATTGATTTTTGACAGAATTATGGCATTTTGAATATTTTTCATAATCGCTTAATTAAGATCGGGTTCGAACTGTGCTAACTTCCGATTGTCGACAAAAATATGAAGCGAGGAAAAGACGATTGAGAAATGAGTTGAATTTTCGTCTTAATGTGGATTATTTTATTAGTTTTAAGGCATTTACAACTTGAAAATCGTTCAGTTTTACCTTGGACATGACTTTTGCACATTATAAAATGACATCCTGAAGAAAAATGGGAACCCGGTAGGGGACATGTATTGCTTGTGCATTGCTCTAAGAATGCTTGTTGTAAATAAAAAAAATAATTTTCTTGTTAAAGTATTGAATGAATTATCTGCATTCGTGAACAGAGATCAGTGGGTTTTTTTTTTATTTTACAGATTGTGGACTTCTTCCTAGCTGGAAAAATGCAAAGGAAATACAATCAAAGGGACAGTTTCTAATAATTGGAGTTGGTTCCCTTAGGATATTCCAATGCTACCCCTGGACTCATGAGAAAAAATATAGACAAAAAGTTATATGTCAATCAGACGGAAATTGGACACATTATCAAAATACCCCTTGCAGTATGTACAAATATTATTAATTAAAACGTGTATTCAACAGCTTATGTGTAAATAAGTTAAAGTCATAATTTCTCTTTTCTATATTTTTTTTTTTTTTTTTTTTTTGATTTTTTTTTTAGAATGGATATATAAAATAAATAAATCAAAATTATTCAACACTACAGATATATGAATATTTTTTGTTTTTTTTTATTTGCAAGTTTATAATTTATAGTCTACATATACAGTGTATAATATGATAGATAAACAATCCTGTTTTTAGATTTGGTCACCTGTGCTACGGAAGTGACGTCGGTAGAGACTCTGGATATTGATAATAAAGAAATTGACGTACCATATGTTTACTCAGAGGGACACAAATGGGCGGTAAGTCATTTAACTCCTAAGAATTTTTTAAAATGATTTATATTATAAAAGGCCCTCGAGCTTTTAAAATTTCTTATATCATAAGTAAGTATACATATACTGATAACTTCATGAAGTTTTTCCCCTTTTGTATGGACTCTCAAACCTCTTTTCCTATTCATTGATAAAAAACATAATTCTTTCCCAACAAATTATTGTATGTTTTCAGCTAATGTACATTTTTCAGTTAATAGAATTTCCATCACACTGTTAGACCCAAGATTGAAAAAACTGATTCATTGTCTAATTTAAAATGATTCTCAATTTGCCTGTTTTAATCAAAATCTTTGTGGGATGGTGTTGAAGTACAAAAGTCTTCTGCATTAAGCATTGTTTCATGACTTTAAACTAAAGCTTCATAAATAAGATAAGGTTAACACTACCAAACATATATATCCTTCATGAAGGTCATCATAAGGCAAATTCTTGTGAAATTAGTTTTCTGATTGCTGAATAGCTTTTAATTTCAAATCTCCATGGCAAAATTCTGTTAAATATAATTGTGGTTAATAAAAAAAGTCTTAACAAAAACAAAAATCTAAAAACAGCTTTAGTTTGTCTGAAGTACTATGGCATGCAAAACTCGTTTAGTACGAACACGGATATTGCGTATTCACGGTTATAGCGAATTTGTCTCGGATCCCCAGCTATATTAATTTAACGATTCCCTTATAAGGATACAATGAATTACGGATACGGCAATTGTCCCGCTGATTTCGAGTTTTACTGTATATCTGCACTTTTACTTTTATTAGGTGATACAAAGAAGGTGTTTTGATAACACAAACTTTTATAGAGGTTGGTCCGACTACAAGGCTGGTTTCGGTAACTTCAAAGAAAAATCAGATTTTTGGATTGGTATGCCTGATCATGAATTGTGATAAGAATTTTAATTAAATTCTATGCTTTATCAATCCTAATCAAATTTTTATCAAGGAAGGTCCATTTTAACTTTGATGCAAAATTTTATATAAAACAACTTACGGAATCATTTTCAATCAATAAATATCTCAGTTGATTTACTCCTTTAATTTATAATACATGAAAAATAATATATACAATATCGCAACAGGAAATGACGTAATACACATGTTGTCGAAAAATGGTTACAATTATATGAGAGTAGAGATGCTGAAGACAGACAACGGCGGAATATAGTCATTTCTTTGTCGGTGATGAAAGCACAAAATACAATCTAACAATACGTGGATTCAAAGGGTTATATGGTGAGCATAATTATATATACTACATAACCATGTATCTGCACATTCAAATAATTAATACATATTCATCAATAACCAGGAAATGGTAAAATTGCGTAACATTAATCATTACACGCCATTTATAATTAATCATTTACAAATAATAAAAGGTTGGACTACAGTTTAAATTGCAAGTCACATAAAGTGCCTAGGGGAGAAACATCCCCTGTCGAAATCTTTATGTTTTTATCAGTTTGACATCAAAACACACATTTTTTTTTTTAACATTTATTTTTTTTTCATCAAAACAATAACACATACATACATACATGTACACTTAATATCGACGAAGAATGTACACCTGTTTGTTATAAGTGTGTGCAAATTGTTCAATATAATGTCTATAATGATTCCAATTTCCTTCTAGTCCACTCCCTATTCATAAAGGAAAAGCATAAGTCTGGTAAGGTAAACTACCCATTTGTTGTAAACAAGCTTGAAACCATTTCTCTCTATTATATGCTGTGTCCTGATAAGTGGAAATTCTTCTAGGTCTGTGACTTGCTTTTCCATAATCCCATCGAGATAGTAAACAAATGACCACAGGGGTTTGTGAAGGAAACACCTTAATAGTGCCTGGAATTCCTCTATCTTGTTCTAAAGCTATATTTTGAAATCCTACAGCTCTGCGGGTGGCATAGAGATTGGCTTGTGGGAATTTCTCTGCAATAATTTGACTCAATCCATAAGCTTTTACAGACAAACAATCACATTGATGAACAATAGCTTCTACCTCACAGTTGAGTAAATCACCTTGTATCTCCTGGAGACTCATGATGTAAAATGAATCTATGTTTTAAAAGATCCTTGTTTTTATACAACAACAACAAATACAGCTTTTACAGAGATGGCAAGAAGTCTCGACACATCTGACCAGACAGCAGCAAGAAGTGATGAAACAATTTCTGTTATATTCGAGAAGAGCTAGACAAAAGGGAAGTCAACTTGACTAAATCTGGGCTCCAATTCTTTGTTTCTCTCCTCAGGTTTCAGAACACCATATTCTTCATAGTCACCTCCTTGCCTGTAAAACATC